AGCCCCTAGTAGCTTCTTGTTACTAGTAGTAAGGATGCTCCTAGTAGTACAGCCAGGAGCCCCGTTCGTAGCGTCCGATCGCTCCGCGATGCCAGGAGCCCCTAGCTAGTAGCGTCCTTGCCGCCCAGCTCGAAGAGTTCCCGTGCGCGTTTCTGGCTGAGGCCCACGAAGACACCCAAGGCCCAGGTGCCCAAGACCTGCGGTGGGGGGTCCCGCAGGTGGGGGGGTCCGGCGGAGAAAATGCGGCGGCCTATTTTGAAGTAAGAAAACGGGGAAAGCGGTGAAGATGGAGGGAGAGTTTCATTAATGTTTCTTTTCATAGTTGGATTGGTGCTGGATGGTGAATGGTGGCGGAACAAGGAAGATCTTGTGAATCTTGTGTGTTCGACCCAAAGGAATGGGGATTTTGATCGATCCACTGAGCCTGGCACAAAAGATCCGCCAACCAAACGAGTCGTCTGTGTCAAAAGCGTTTGTCCAACCTGAACCGCCACATCCCTGGCATGCTCTTCCATCACCACGAGAACTTGGTTGCAAAGGCCTTCTTTGAAGACTCGTCGCTTGAATTCCACGTTGCCACAGGCCAAGTTCCCCAAAAGCCCCAGCGCGGCGGCCATCACCTCCGCGTCGTGCCGCAGAAGCTTCAGCGCACCGGTCACCGCTTCCACGCTGGGCCCATCCGAGAGCACCCACTTCCTGTCGCGCCGACTGCGTTGCGGGTCGGAGCAGCGGCTGTGGTCGGCCCAGTCAGGGCGGTTTTGGAAAGCGGCTGTGCTGGTCCAACAAAAACAGAAAGAACACAAATTAAATAAGAAGACCAAAGAGAAGGTGGGAAAGCCACCAAACAGAAGCACACAAGATGGTCGATGACTCTAGGACTCTAGGACTCTAGGTCGAAGACACCGACCCACCCACCCTTTTTGGCCACCCGTCCTCCCGTCCGAGGTGGACATGCTCCGAAGCACCTCCAGGCCATGCCTCTGTACCATGGAGCTATGTGGAAATGCCTCCAAGCTCGTGCACACCGTCGCCACGCCCTTGCGTGCCAAGAGCCATCTCTTCCGAAGTGAAGAAGAGGTGAAGGTCCACAGAAAGCCCAAGGCGAAGCTTTGCAACTGTTCCTTCGTCGCATGCGATTGGATGGAGGTCAACACAACGTCCAACATCTCTTCCGTATAGATCTCCTCTACTTGTGGATCACGACTGACCTGCATGAAACCCCAAAGCATCTGTATGGAGCGACCTTGGATTTGTGCATTCTCTGTATGTGACTGCAGCATGTCCACCGCCAATTCTAAAGCGCCCATCTGCATCATCTCCTCCGTCACCGAAAAACAGTTGCTCGCCAGGGTGGCCAGGACCGCCAAGGAGCGGCCACGAAGGAAGAGATTCTCGGTCTCCAGGATCTGCCAGATCAGTGGCAAAATCTTCGCCTTCACGTAGGCAACCTGACAGGTGAAGGAAAGCGAGCTGGCGAGCTGTGCGACAGGTCCGAACGTCCGTTTATGGAAATAGATGTTGAGACGTCATAAATCCTGAAAGCTTTGAGAGTTACATGATGTGCATGGTTTGCGGGTCAAAACCTGGAGCCCCAAAGCCTGGTAGATAGCCATATGTCACATAGTCCAAGAACCTTCACATACCTTCCCGCTTTCCACGCCTTGACATCTGGATTCTTCAAACACAAGCGGTTCACGACCAACAGCAGGGCACTCTGCACGGCAGGGCAATCCATGAAGCGGGCCAAGGCCGCAGTGCTCCACTCCACAACTCCGGCCTGATGTAGAAAGAGAGTGACACCAAGAAAACAGGCGACAACATGGTTTTTGAAGACTAGTAAAAAGAAATAGTTTATGGTGTGTTTTCTTTGAGGCATCCAACCCTTGGCCCATCCTTGGCCCCCATCATCCCTGGTTCTCATCCATATGATCATATATGATCCAACTTGGCCCTGATCGTTGACAAAGAACGTGCTCCAGCAAAGCAGTTAGGAAGCCCCCATGGCCCCAGAAAAGTCGCACGACATGGAGGACAAACGTTGTGCTGCACTTAGATTTCATATGATTTTCTCTTTCCTACTTCAATCCTCAGGGCCCAAGGGGCTCAAGCTGTTTTCACCTCTCCTGGGGAAACGAACTCAATCCATCTCCTCATGTTCTGGTGTGAAATCTCTCCCATTTTTACTCAAAGGTCCCAAAAAGGTTTCATACCTCGTCTCTTCACGTTTCACCTTTGTTCAAACAATATGGTTATGGTGGACTCATTCACGTTTCCCACGGTTCACCAGCCAAGGTCTTCTTCTTTCGTCTGCAGTAAAAGGTGCGAATGAAGATCTCCACGGTTCACTCTGCTCGTTCGAGTGAGCTTTATGCTCAAGTGTGCAAAAGAAAGTAATCTAATAGGAATCACTACCTTCGATTCATAAGGTCAAACCATGTGACAAACCATCCTGCGAAAAGCATGGTGTACACACTCATGCGACATCCCAGCTTCCTCTCCAAAAACCACCACCCGGTCTGCCTCCAACGCTTCGCCTCAGCCGTGAACATACATCGCATTACATCGAGAGCCGGAGGGCATGGGTTGAGGCCAGTTGAGGCAGTGGAAAGGGTCATCCCGCTTTTCTCCAGCTGAAGTTAGGCGCTTAGTACTGTACTGAATTACTCGTCAGGGCAGGGCTGATGAGTTGAGTGCTGCCTTCAATGAGCCACTCATTGGGAAGCCTCAACGTTTGCTTAGTCGCTTCAACGTTTCTCCCTCCTCGGGTCTTGGGGTGCCAGCGTGCTGGCTCCTGACTCCAGGGTCACCATCAAATTAGTTAACACCTCATAGTAAAAAAGCAACGATGTGTTACTTTTTGTAACCTGAATTGAGTAATATAACGTAAGAACAATTCTTTACTCCAATCTTCTGCTACGGTGTTTCTTCCATCCTCCCACGACCTTCCCGCGCCTCCCGACCTTCCCGCGCGTCTCTCGGTACCGGCGCGTCGGGACGTGGAACTGGACAGAAGGCCTCGGCGGGCGGAGCGCGTGACCGCGTCGGGGAGCGAAACCAGGCGAAGGAAAGGAGGGGGGGGGAGGTCAGTGGTCTTGTTTTAGGGAGAGACCCACATGAGCGCACGACCAACTGTTTGGTCACTATAGTGCTATAACTCTTGGAGATACGGGGAGAGACTAACATGCCAAACCATAGAGTCGCATCACTCCATTTCTTGAAAAGATGCATCAATGAACAGCATATAAACTTCTGAACTTGGCCTGGTTAGGTGTCCACCTTTGGAGAAAACACCCCACCCACCCACCGCCGAAGCGTTCGGCACGGAAGCTCGCACGCCGCACGCACCGGGTGGCCGTGTCTGAGGGCCGGACCCCACAGCACTCGAAAGCCATGGAAATTCACCGCCTCGGAACCTGAGACTTGACCATGACTAGGCCGGGCCAAACCGGACTCGGAGGCGCTGGACTTGGTATTTTTTGGGGCAGAATGGATGAGATGATCGAGGAATTGGGATTGAGTGATGCTCAAAGAGTGATGGGAGGCTGAGAGTTGGAGAGGCGTTCGGATTTCCTCGAAGGTTCGAACCAAGAGATACTGACCTGCTTGGGTGGGCGCCAGGGCGAGAAAGGAGGGGTCTGGCGGTGCATGAAAAAGGGCATAGATCACACCTAGATCGCTCTTTCTGGAAGACTTGGGTCAGCTGGCTCTTTCAGATGAAAGGTGCAGTGGCTCCTCATGCAGTGGCTCATCATGCAGTGGCTCGTGGGCGGGATGAAGAAATTCATGGGTTTGCTGCCGAACTTCTCTAGCTGATCGAATCAAAGACCGATTTTAGGCAAAATGGAGGGACATGGACGGAAGAGATCACCACCAGTCACTGGACGTTTGCTGATCGTCATGTACAACCATTCTCGGCGTGGCTTTGTACAGTAGGTCAATGAAATAAGAATAAAAAATCAAATTCAACCACTTGAACACATGACGGATCCAGGCTCTTCTTTTGCTGACTGTGCTCCCTTTTTGCAGGCGTGCACAACACGTAACGTAGCGGCAGCGGCCAATTCAAGAATCTGAGATCTTGACGTTTATGCTTCTGCAACGAGGCCATCAGCGTTTGAAGGACTCCAGCGGACTGCACAGCCTTCCAAGGAAGGAAAGAGAAACAACACATGCGCGGGCCATGCGCATGAGGGTTAAGGTTATAATAAGGAGATCTGTCAAAAAGGGTTGCGTGTTTCAAAAACCAATATTTCCTTCAGGCATGTTCAGCTGTATTTCTTCTGGATCTTCTAGGGTGCAAAGGTTAGAATGCTTCACCAGAACATACCGCTTCTCTCCGTTTTCACCAGAACCCCCTCGTCAAACCGGACAAGCCTTCCACCTCGTCCCACCACGAAGGTGCCACAAGGACTTCAAGCCGGCCTTCAATCCGTCATCAGAGGATTCAGCCAGGGAGCGTAACCTCAGCTGGCATGGATGATCCTACACATCGGCACGTGCGCATAGGCACGCAACTGAGTGTGGGTCACGCGGGTGGTCGAAAGGCTCAATTCAGAGGGACAGCGGGGCTCCAACATATGGCTTTGTAAGCCTGATATGAAAGAAGAGCTCAATTTTTGCATGTAAACATCATCTGCACAAATAAACTTGGGCTTCATGATCAACTTCCTGTGCACCACCACCGTATGTTGGCCTGGAAAAGGCTCTTGCTCCAAGCACAACCCCGGAGCATGTCTTTTTAGCGCGGGGGCTCGCAGGACTGCCATACTTCGCAGATCAATCTCCAGCGGCTGCTACTGCCAGGGGTGAGAACCTGTCTGCCTTTTCTTGCGTTGCAAAGAACTTCAGCACATCCAGCTGATACTTCTCAGCAGAAATGGCCAGATGGTCAATGGCTCGTCTCATGTCCTGCAAGGTTTCTTGATGCACCTGGAAGGCTCGGTCGACCTAGGCCAAGACGATCTAAGAGGATCCAAGAGGCAAATGAACTGATCAATTTGGGCGAAGCTGCAAAATAGCAAAATCCAACCCAAGTAGAAGTCAGTAGAAGTATCAAGCATGCTCTCAACAGAGTGGTATGCGGATGTATGCGGAACTGTGTCTAAAGGTTTCTAAGTCCCAGGCTGTCTGCGCTTTCGTCGACGCATCATCCTTTGCATCCTCCACGCTATTGGCAATATCGGTCAAGCCTTCAAGTCCAGACGTGACCTGTTTCAAGTGGTACTTCGCTTGATTATGTTCCTTTCCCAGCACATCTGATCCAGAGCGAGCAAGCGGCTTGCTGCTGTTCTTCTGTTCAATGGACCCACGGGTCCGGCTGGTCTTTTGGCGCAACTTCTGCGTCAAGCTCAGCAGGGACAACTCATTGATTCTGGCAGATTCCCGGAGACTCTTCAGCACCTCCCCAACTCCTCTCAGCAAGTCTGCGGCCATGCCCATCTCCGCGGCGTCCTCCTCTTCCCCTACGGCGTCTCCTGAAGTCACAGAACCCATGGTCTCACGGACCCGCGCCAGGTCCGCCCCATCGAAGCCTAGGCCACCGCGGGCACCGCGGGTCCCAGCACCGGCACCGGCCGCGTCAGCGGATCCAAAGGTCTCTAAGTGGCTGGCTCCGATCGGCGTCCGGACCGAGCTCTCCGAGCTCTCCGCAGGACTGGCCGCATCTGGACTGTGTGCCGAGCAAATGCAGAGTGTGAGGACAGCGTAGCGCAGAGGCCAAAGAGATGTCAAAGCCTCCCTGCGAAGCATGCTGGGCACATCATCGCAACTGGACACAACTGGTTTTGGCAAACAAAGTCTGCATCAAAATGCGTTAGCTTGAAGCGAAAATGTTGCATCATCCAGGCGCAGTTCATGCCGGTTTTTACACAGGAACCGAACCTTCTTTTGACATCGGATGCCATTGGAACCTCCCGCCGATTCAGTCCCACTCTCAGTTCCGCTCAGTGGTAAAAGCATGCGCGCTGTACTGAGTAGCGTGCACGAGACAAGCATCTTGCAGGAAGAGGCTACTGTGCTTGTGGTGCTGCATGAGCTTTTCCACCTCATCGGCTGGACACAATGAGTTGGGGCGTGGAAAAAGAATCCACCTTGGGCCTAGAAAAAGGAACCAAGGCAGCTGAGCACCCAAGCGCGTATGGCGAATTCCACCAGATCCTTAGCAGAACTAAGATAGAGATCTCCTTCAAAATGGAAAAGAAACTGCCAACATGTAAAATCTTCATGTCACCCCCAAGCTAGCCTAGGAGTCAAATACGTCATGACTTGCACCCATGAAATGAGCCATTCTGGATACAGGTTGATGTACTGCAGTCCCATCCAACTTGAGACGCTCTGAAACACCATGAAACCCGGAGGGACTGTTCAGGAGGGACGTCTTTGGACCCCCGAGGCGTCGCGCCGTCTCTTTGATCAGCTTTCCAAAGGCCAGCGCTCCACTTCTCTGCCTCAGAGAGAAGAAGAGCGCGCTCCGCGCGGAGCAGCGCTCTTGGGGGGCCGTGAGTGAGTTTGGCCAGTGGCTCCCAAGAATATTGGTCCAAGAATGTATACATTAAGGATCAGGTAAAGGATCAAAGCATCAAAGACTGAGAGACTAAGAGACTGGCTGGCTGGCAGCCTGCAAACAAGACAAATACCCAAGTTCAGAGAACTCTGAGCGCAAGCGCCGGCTTGCGCTGCTCGAATGCGCTGCACCCGGACCTTCGACCGCGAACGGACGACGCCTGGGCTGTTTTG